CTTCTCACTGACACATTTTAAATGCTAAATGCTCTTAAAACTGAAGTTTGCTCACAACTAATATTTTTGTGTCTTTTTGAATTTTAAATTGACTTAGAAGTTTATTGAATGCCTGCTCTATCCAACCCTGTACTCTGAATGGTTTTAACTGAATTAGACTACATCTGACAAATGTCCCCTGAGGACTGTTCTTGAATGAGTGTTTGTAAGAAAATAGGCTGAACTAAAACCTACTTACTCATTTTTTAGAACAGTAAAACAGAATCATCACAGTTTAGAAAGAATTTATCAGCCCACAAAGTACCAATGAGCTTTTAGATGTGTTGTATTTATGAAGGTGTACAGAACTAATTCTGACAATAGAAAAATCCATCCTATAAGTTATAGGCAAGTAAGTTATAATTCATAGTTTATTGCAAAATGTGATAGTTTCTGTAGATTATAGTGACCAATGATATTTTTAGCAGCATTTACATTTTCTTGTTTTATTTTAAGAAATAAATGTGGTACAGTAGTTGAAAGAACATTCTAGTAGCATATTTTAAGACTGACTAGTTGTCTCATTAAGCAGGTTGATAAAAGATCCACGGAAAATTATAGTAAGCCTGAATAATGTTTATGTTGTAATGACAGATAATTGTGATTATTTTAATACAGTTCTTAAAGGCATGTTCTAAACCTCACTTAGTATGTAATTTTTTAATTTTTAATTTATTTTATGATTTATTTAACAGTTATGTAAAGTTATTTTTCTATGGTAACTGCTGTGTTTTAGGGAACTGTTTATGAAATTAATCAGGGAGAGTCAGAAATTGCATGGTTGAATATATTTGATCTATTTCTGTTTCTTTGTTTTGCAATTATTTAGAAGAAAAAAAAAAGAATAAAATCACAATTCTTGAAAAAAATGCCCTGAGGAATTCTAGCATTCTAAGTGAATGCCCTGAGGATTACAGCATTCTAAGTGAATGTTTATTCATTCAACAAGCATTAGTTGAATCTCTCATGTGAGCACAGTGTCCTTCTAGGTACTGGGAATGTGGCCATCACTTTGCCTTCTATCATGGAGCTTATATTCTAGTGAGTGAGACACACAGTAAACCAGTGAACACAAACACACACGCACACATTCACTCTCTAGGTGAAGACAGTGAACTCGAGTCATATTGGAACAGCATGAGATTGGGTGCTCGGGAAGGGTTCTCTGGGGAGGCGCCATTTGAATTGAGACCCAAAGGGTGAGAAGCCGATCCTGAAGAAGTTCACCCAAGAAGCATCCCAGGCCATGGGCACACAAAATTGCAAAGGTCCTGAGTTGAGAAAAAGCCTGGTATGTCAGAGAACAGAGGGGATGGTGAGCGTGGAGCAGGGAGGGAGGTCGGAAGTGTACAGGGCCTGGTCCCCGAGGTAGGTGGACAGGCTCGGATCCTGTGGGCGCTTGTAGGCCTCCCAAGGAGTTTTGATTTCCTTCTAAGGGCAGCAGGCAGTCCCTGAAGGATTTTTTGCAGGGAAGTGGTGTGTTTTCTACTTTCCTAAGAGGACCTGGCTGTTCTGTGGACAGGGGAGGGAGAAGGGAAGGCTGAGAGCTTCATCATGCCATTATAACGGGCTGGCTGAGATGCTGGTGGTTGGGGGTAGTGCTGGGGATAGAGTCAAGGGAACAGATCCAAGAAGCATTTGGGTGTAAAGTAGACAGGATTGCTGATGGACTTGGGGATGGGGAAAGAATGGGAAACAATTTACCTTAGTGCAGTATAAAAATGAGATGACATGGAGAGAGTTATTTGAGCATCTAGGTTCTATTTTGTACTATACCCTGAGTTTAAAGTTACTGCACATACTCATTATTATAGTGAAGCAGCTTTCTCAGAGCAAATGCAGCTCAGTCATACTTAGCGCATGCTGCCTCTTAGAGTTGGCTACAATGAAGGAAATGAACTGAGAAGATGGCAATGAAACTGAGCAAATCATTTCAGCCAAATACACAAGGACAAGCACTGCCTAAACTAAAGCAGTTAATTTTGCTAATAGTCATTTCTTTTTGACAGAGAGCTCCAGCTTCCTCTTGTAACCTGTACAAACTAAGGAAATAGTCCGACCTGCATTTTTTGGATTGTATTTACCATTTTTGTGAGACATTCTTAGTTATGATAGGCACATTTTAGAAGGTGTTAACCTCCCAGATGGTATCCAAGTCCAAAGGTCCTGAAATCTGCTTTGACCCCTGCCTCCCTTGCCAGCTGTTGCCATCTTCCCTTGCACCTGATATTTAAGGTCATTCCAGGTGACTTTGAGGTCCACGGCTAAACTTAGCAGCTCAGCAAGGAAGCTGGCCTCAGTGACGCCCATACTTTTCTATAATGGTGAGTGAGAGTGAGAGAGAAGGGAGCAGAGGAGAGAGTCTAAGAGTGTCTGTGGCTGAACTCTAGGCTTGCCGTGGGGAGGGCAGAGTCGAACAGGTGAAGCTCTCAACTCCTATCTCTGCTACAACTCACCACCAGTGAGTTCAGAGGCTTACAGATTAGGTTTTAGAGTAAGATTTTGTTGGGATAAAAGATAAAACGAGTTTTTTCTCTTTTTTTAAGCTTTAAAAACACTATTCTGGAAGTCACAAACTTGTTCACTGAGATGATTCCAGCCCACATAAGTCTGCCATTTTTGTGTCACCCGGATGAACTGAGTTTCCCCAGCCAATGAGTGAAACTTATGTCCCCCAAAGTGGCCCAGAATTCCACGCACTAGCTTCTGCCTTCTGCTGCCCCACCCAATAGTGTAAAAATTCCGCAGAGGGTTTCCCTTTGTGAAGCTTTGTCCCACAGGCCCAGAAGTTTGTGGGTCCTAAGTTAGATTAGTTCCTGGCTCCTGATTTTTCTCTGGTCTCCTTTTCTGGATTTGGGTTCTCCCCCCCCCCCCCTCCGGCCACTGGGACAACGTCTTACTCTTCTCCCATCTGTCCTTCAGAAAGTAGCACTGCAACAGAACTGATTGGAGCCCACGTGGCCCAGGCGAAGGGGAGCATTGAGCTCAGCTAAGCTTGGGGAGGGGTCAGGCCTCGACCTTGGACCCTGAAGTCCCACTGCTTCATCTGATGCACCGTGCTCGACTTGTCCTCACACATGGAGTCTTCACTCCCATGCCCTAGTGCCTGACTTTATCCCTCAAGCTATTTCCCATCCAGTCCATCAAAGCAGGGTTCAAGTTATTTCCCAAGGGACCTCTGCACTTCTCCCGTGACCAGGGATTGTGGCTAGGCACAACTTTAAGTGGCTGGCAGTGAGGATGCCGGCACACCCCGACCAGTCAGTCACCTTCTTGGGAGGTTGTTGCTTAATCCCACAGGCTGACCCAAATCATGGCTCTGCCCAGCCATGGTGGTATATTACAAGAAAGAAAGCATGCTTAAGAAATAAAAAATGAGCTGGGTGCGGTGGCTCAAGCCTGTGATCCCAGCACTTTGGGAGGCCAAGGGGAGAAGATTGCCTGAGCTCAGGGGTTTGGGACCAGCCTGGGCAACTTGGTGAGACCTCATCTCTATATAAATAAAAAAATCAGCTGGGTGTGGTAGAACACACCTATAATTCTTGTTACTTGGAAGGCTGAGGCAGAAGGATCGCCTGAGCCCAACAGGTTGAGGCTGCAGTGGCCATGAGCGTGCCACTGCACTCCAGCATGGACGACAGAGTGAGACTCCAACTCAACAAACAAACAAAAAATGAATGAAAGAAAGAAAAAGTGAGGTGGGAAATAACATTAGAAGCTCAGTTTTTATACCCTGTTGGTAGTTGACACCCTCTTTCTGTAGCACTTCTTTTCAAGGGAGCTCTTACAAAACCCCAAGTATTAAACAGGTGGGATTTAGGTATCAGGAGCAAACTTCCCTGTGCTCTCCCAGCCTCTGCATCTTCTGGGGGCACTCCCACCCCTGAAATTTCCCAGAAATTCTAGGATCCTTGTAGCATAACTTGAAAATCTCCACACCGTGGTGTAAAGATTTCAGAAATGAAGACAGATACTTGCATTGCAGGTTGACACCTGAGGGAGTCATCCATTACGCCTTCCTTCCTGGGTCATTGGCCTTTCTTGCCTACCCGGCCCTTTTATTGAGCATACGTGTGCAGGAGGCCATAGTCTCTTGAGTGGATTATAATGTGCCCTCTCCTGCGCCTCCCAGGCCGTCATCTTTATGGCTGCCACAGTCATCTTTCTGAAATTTGCATCCGCTTTTGGCAATCCTTTTCATTGCTTCCATGGCTCGCTTTCCCTCAAAGGATGAAGGGCTTGGACACTCAGCTCTGGCCACACAGTTGTCCCTGCGCCCCTTCTCTACTGTGCCCCAGAAAACACCTGCTTTATAGGTCCTATCTCCTGCATCTCCACCCCCCACCCCCCACCCCCAGCCATCCTGCTCTTTGGTGCTGGGTTCAGATTGCACTCCGTGGAACTTCCTGTTTCTAAGCCCACCCTCCCACACCCCAGGTTGTGATAGCCTGCCTTCTGCTCCTTGTTCTCAGTTCAGTCTTCTCTTGTGCACCTGTCATAAGACCTTCCATCTCCTTTTCTGTTAGCTCCATTTAAATAGAAACTCCTTGAGAGCAGGGACGTTTGGGGCAGGGGAGCAGACTCTCTGTCTGCAGGTCTGCAGCTCCCAGTCCCCCGATAGGTAAAGGTGCTCAAAATTTGAATGAATGAATGATCAAGTTACTGCAAATGCATTTGTCGAGATGTGAATGGTAGTTATTAAATAAATCAGCTCTAAGTTAATAAAAACAAATCATTTTTCAAAGGTTCATTGTTTCAAGCCTTTCAGTACTACGTCTATTTAAGTGAGCCCTCAGGTATTAAGGGAAGGCTGTGTTTGTTGAGGCAACTGGGAGCATACAATCTATGTGGAATCATTTCCACCTGAATGGGATTGGCTGTGGCTATCACACCATTCGTGTTCAGAGTTGACTGTCTTTGTAGTACGAGGGGTAGGAGGTGGGCGGTGTGTGGATGTGTGAAGGTGTGGACATGACAGCCAACTGGGTCTTTTAATGAGCTACTCACTTGAAAATTGTCTTTCTGCAGGTGATGTATCACCAATCAGTATGTCTCCCATCAGTCAGTCTCAGTTTATTCCACTTGGAGAAATCCTTTGCTTGGCCATCTCAGCAATGAACTCTGCAAGAAAACCTGTCACCCAGGAAGCACTGATGGAGCACCTGACAACATGTTTCCCAGGTAATGAGAAAGGAACATAACACTTTCCAAACTGATGTGTGCCTTGCTTGATCTTGGACTTCAGATGAATTGTTCCTCTCATGTTTAAATAGGAAAAAATTATTCATTTCTATAATTAAAAATCAAGGCACCTGTATTACATCAAAAATAGTTTAATGAAATAATTTAACTGCTTTAGCTGTAATACTTTTTAAATTGGCAATGAGAGAAAGAAATTAAATCAGAATTCTGGAGTATCTGGCAAAAATGACCAGATTCCACTGAGCCTTTATAGTCCAGCCTTCTTTATTTTCTTATTTTTTATATTTTATTTTATTTTTTTGAGTTGGAGTCTCACTCTGTCGCCCAGACTGAGTGCAGTGGCATGCTCCTGGCCACTGCAGCCTCGACCCGCTGGGCTCTGGCGATCCTTTCCTCTCAGCCAACCTTCTTTAAATACATGAACATGAGGGCTCACGGAGCTAGTCAAAAACAGCTGACAATTTTGATCTCAAGGATTTAAACCACACAAAGAGAAATGTCAAAAATAAACATATCTTCTGTGTGAGGCATGACTTGATGAGTTTTAAGAAAATATTTGATAAATCAGTTTATTTTATTTTATTTTTTATTTTATTTTTTGAGTCAGAATCTCACTGTCACCCAGGCTGGAGTGCAATGGCACACTCAGAGCTATCGCAGCTTCGACCTGCTGGGCTCAGGTGATCCTTCTGCCTCAGCCTTCCAAGTAGCTGGAGCCACAGGCATGTGCCACCACACCCGGCTAATTTTTTTGATTTATTGTAGAGACGAGGTCTCACCAAGTTGCCCAGGCTGGTGTCAAACTCCTGGGCTCAGGCAATCCTGTCACCTCTACCTCCCAAAGTGCTGGGATGACAGGCTTGAGCCACCACACCTGGCTATGATTTTATTTTAAAAGAAAAATATAAGTATTTTCTTTTCTCTTAAATGTTATAAAAGGAAGGCAGCAGGCCAGCTGCTGTGTGAATGATATTTGATACTTCCAGTGCTGGAAGGCGTTAGGAATGATGACAAGCAAGGGAATATGTGCCCGTCTCTGGGAGGCAGCCACTGTCCAGCTCCAGCGTCTTGCCACCCCACCCTCAAATAGAGAATCCTGCCAGAGGAGCCAAGCCTCATTTTTCAAGGGAATCGGTAAATTTACTTTTAAGTGAAATTGCTAGAATTCTTTAAATATTGGCAAGTGTGTGCATACACGTTTTAGCATGTGCATGCCAGCAACAAGCAGGTCAAAGAAAACACATTATGGGCCCACCAGTTTTCCAGCTTGGTGTGAACTCAGCCTACTCCTAGATTGAAGTGGAGATTATATTGAAAATGAACACCTTACACTCCAGTCTGGGCAATAGAGTGAGACTCCAAAAAAAAAAAAAAGAAAGAGAAAAAGAAAATGAACACGTGATACACTTTCATTCCACTTAGTTAGAGACCTCAGTAAATGCAAACTGTTGACAGAATCAGTTAGTTTTTGCTGCAACGATGCCAGGTAACAAACAACCATGGAACTCCAGGACCATCCAGTAAGCATACAATACCCAAAGTGCTAGGATTATTTCTCACATGTGTCTGTGGGTTCCCTGGAGTCAGCTGATCCAGGTGGGCCCAGCCGGGTGGCTCTGCTCTGCCTGGACCCCATCCCCTTCAGAAAAGGAGCCAAAGTGCGGTGGATTTTGCTCATGGAGTTGGCAGAGGCACAAGAGCACAAGCCTGTTGCACAAGCCCTTCACACCTGCTCTCATGGTACTAACCAGAGCAAACTCGGTCAATCTCAAGGTCAGGGTGTGGGGGAGTACACCCCACACATGGAGGAGAGGACAGAAGGACTAATTTTAAGCTAAATTGTGACCTAATAGACCATATTGAGACTCCTCATTTTTCCTTTTGCCCCTCAGAAATTTTTTATCTCCCTGTGATTTCTCCTCCTTTTTCAGTATTCTAATTCACATATTTTATATTTTGTATACAGTTCAGAAACTAACATGAGCCCGCCCTTGTAACCTAAAAATTATCTTAAATTTTGTAACATTTATAATCTCTGGATACATCTCACTGTCTGATGGTCTCTATTTGTTGAGTTCAAGGCAGACCCTTTTCTTTTTAGTAGTAAGATAAGCAGAACCGCAGGTGAGAGCTATCTGAGCCATGACAGATGCTGCTTGCAAACACAATGCTCTCCCGGGAAGGCCCTTCCTTTGGCCTTGTCAGTGGGTAGCTACTTCTGACATCAAACAACTTGGCAGCTTTTAAATTCTTATGTTTTTATATAACTTCATGAGAGAGATCACATAGCCATTTTGAAATTGGTTATGTACCTCCCATTTCTGGGCTGTAAAATAACTAAAGAACACAAAGCTAGTATGTAATAATAAAGAGTTCATCACTGTCCAACAACTGACAACAGTATCACTAAGTTGGGAAATTTTGCAGCATAATCCATGTCATTTGTACTTAAAAGGATAATTGCTTTGCTAGCTTTTGTGGGAAGTGAACTCAAATCCCAAGGCCTTGGTTTTCATATGGACGGAGAGGAGCAAATTAAACCTTTTTCTTCTACATAACACTGATGAGTTTTAGTACACTGTACAAGCCTAAATCTAGGGCAGGGGTTTGTAATCTGTGGCCGCGAGGCCTCCTGTGGCCTGCTGCCTGTTTTTGTCAATAAAGTTTTATTACAATACAGCCATGCCTGTTGGTCTGTACATTATCTTTGGCTTCTTCTGCTACAGTGGCAGAGTTGAGCAGCTGCAATGGAGATCATAGGGCTCACAAAACTAAAATATTTGCTATACAGCTCTACAGAAAAGTTTGCTGACCCCTGGTCTAGCGCATGGTGGTAATTATTTAAAATCTTGTGCAGCAAAGCGCTCAGATTTTAAATGAGTATTGCCTAATGAATGAGCTGTTGTTTCGTGCCTGCCTGCCTACCTGCCTTCTTTCCTTTCTTACCTCCTCCCCTGCTTCCCTTTCTTTCCTTCGATCTGTTTGCCTTTGTTTTGCCTGTCACTTCAGCTACAGCAGAACAAAGCACTTTAGAATACACTATTCAGATTCTATTCGAAAAATGTGTTTTCAGTGACAATGCTACAACTCTGGAGAGGTGTAAATATTGCTGATGTTTTTGTTTTTTAAAGTTAAGAGTAAAGTATTTCATTCTTTTATATCTTATTACTTGAAAGTGAAGTTTTCAAGTCTAAATATTATTAAAATATATGAATTCTCATATTTAATGCGTATTTTATAACTAAAAAGAATAGTCTAGAATTTGGTTTCTGTTTCTGTTTTGGACATCCATATTATAAAGAAAGTTTTTAGTGAAAAGTCTTCTAGTAAAAATGTCTTAGATACTGAAACTTAAACCTTTTGATCACTTTTCTGTACAGCTGAGTTTTTGAAAAACCAACTCAACAACTTTTCGATACTAGCTTTCATTACAGGATCAAGAATATTTTTAAAGGTTTAAAAAGAATAAATACTTGCTTCTCAGATTTCTAAATAACTATTTATCCATTCATCCAGAATGGGATGAGCATTTAAATTGGGCTAGTACTTGTTAAGTTGTTACATTGGATCTTCCAGGGAGGAAGACTGACCTTCGGGGACATAGGATTAGACTTACAAGACTGAGTAGGAGAGTTGAAGTCAACTTAAGAGATTGCTGGAGAATGTTAACGTTATACACGCTGTTCTGTCTCCAGTACATCCCCTTGCATTGGTTCTTTTTTTAGAGCAAGGACTCACTCTGTTGCCCAGACTGGTGTACAGTGGCACAATCACAGCTCACCTCAGCCTCAAATTCCTGGGCTCAAATTTTTTTTCTGTAGAAACACGGTTTTCTAGGCTGGCCTCAAACCCCCAGGCTCAAGCAGTTCTCCTACCTCGGCTTCCCAAAGTGCTGGGATTACAGGCATGAACCACCACACCGAGCCTGGTTCTTACTGAATTCTCCCTCAGCCAGCATTCTTTACCAACAAGAACAGTCTGAAGATGCCCATTAAACGTTTTCACCTAAAATGCTGAACAAATAGAACATGTATATGTGCTCTTTGTTCTGAGTGTCAGATTTGCAGGTTTACAGCACTATGTAGGTCTAAGTAACATCACGTTGTCATGCAGTGTTTTTATAAATATCTATTTTTGCTTTGGAAGATGCAGAGGCGTCGAAAGGAGAGAGGTCAGGTTCAGCCCTGTGAGGATGTAAAGACTATCTTTGTTCTTTAAGCCCTCAAAATCCAAATTCATGATGAACTTTAGGAGTTGAATCTGGAAGTGATGGGATATGCAAACGTTAGACATCCATCACAGCCATCACTTTTTCAGGTCAACCCAACATATTTCTGGTGGATTTCATCGACAAGTAAAAATATCAATAACTATAAATAGTAATCATAAATATCAGCAACTTTCAGTTAAGTCTTCGAAAACTCACAGGCGGAAGGAAGCATGGCAAATTGAACAGAAAACAAAGAGTGTTTCTGCTTTGTTTTTTCAAATTAAACATGATTTGATTGATACACCTGGAAATACAAGACATAAAAGAAACTTAAATACCAGTTCTCTATGGAAACTCTTTTATTTCTTCATTTGAGAACAACCAAAGAATTTGTTCTTGAAGGTAAATGAAGAAGACTACATTGCAGTCATCATTCTGCATAGCCTCATGAATTTTCTGAGATCGTCGTTTGGAAGGCCTGCAGTCAACAGCAAATACACCTGAATTTTTGTATATGGTAATCATTATTTTTAAGAACTATACACCTCAACTTTCCTTAATTAGCAGCCGTGGTAAACTGGTCAATCGTGAATTCTTAGCAATAAACCTTAAAATGCTTTGGAAAACTTTGTTAAAATGTTGACTAAAAGTGGGCTACCATTTGAGAGATAGTCAGTTTTAAACATGGTCTTGTTGTTGTGGTTTGTTGTGCCACACAGTAAAGTAGGCATCATTTGTGAGAATATGATGCAGATGACATGTCCTCGTCTCAGGAGTTGTATTCCATGTGAATGGTGTCCCCTGCACTTACTTGACAGAAGGCCCTGATTGTCAATAGGTTGTAGAAGCTCTTGTAAGTTGCTTACCTTACGTGCAAGCATTTTTTTGTTTTATCATGATGCTCAAGAATTGCGTGCATGTGTATGATTTGGGTCGTATCGCTAATTCAGTTGGAATTCATTTCTGTTTTGCACAAGACAAATTTTATCATACCAGTCTTACAATCATTTGTAAAAGAACCAATGTACACTTATCAAGAGGAGAGCATTAGGCCAAAAGGAAAATATGTGATACAAAAATTCAGTGATGATATTAAATAATACGTTATTTATGAACAGTGCTCATTGTTCTTTCTCAGTCACTTAAGGATGCCTTCTGAAGATGGTAACACAAGACGTGTGTATGTTACCTCATATTCCTGGATATTCTCCCCTTGAGAATCCCAGGCCACTTCTTGAGCCTTTATTTCTTGTTTTTGTAGTTTGGGAAGGATTGGGGGTACCCAAACTTTCTCAGCTCAGCCAGCTATTCTAGGTTGCTGCATAATGTTCTTTGAAGGTAATTTGGATTCCATGGGGCCTATCCCAAAGTTGAGACTAACTCATAGCTAATATTTATTGCCTACTCACTGTGTGTCTGGCTCTGTTCAACATATACCAAACTCATTTAGACTTACAATAGCTCTGGAAGGGTAGGTATTGTTACTGTCCACATTTCGATAACAGTAAACAGAGGCTCAGGAAGTTAAGTAGCCTAAGGTGACTCCAGCTCTGTTTGTTGTAGGCTGCTGTAACAAAATGAAGGTGACTTAAACAACAGAAATGTATTTTCCTATCGTTCTGGAGGTCACAAGTCCAGTATCAAGATGTGAGCAGATTGGTTGGTCCTTTCTGAGGGCTATGGGAGTAGAAGCGATTCCAGGCCCCTCTCCTTGGCTTCTGGGTAGCATCTTCTTTCTAGGCCTGTCTCTGAGTCAATATTTTTCCTTTTTAGAAAGACATCAATCATATTGGATTAGTGCCTAATGACCTCATTTTAACTTGACTGTCTCTGTAACGACCCTTTCTCCAACTAAGGTCACATTTGACAGGGAGATTAGGGATTAGGATTTCAACACACAAACGGGGCACGCCCGAAACTGATCCAGTGTCACCAGCTAGTGGTGGTGGAGTCTGGGATTTCAATTCTACAGTCTGGCTCTAGAATTCAAGCTTTTCATCTCCAAATTACACTGCCTTACTCGTGTTAGGTTGGACCACATGAAATTGCCCTTTTTGTGGGTAAGACACAGTTAAATTAAATATTGGCAGTTTTATATGATTCAACCAAATTATATCATTCAGATCACTCTTAAAAGTATTATCACTCTTCATGTGCCTAGCCAGTACTGAGGAATGATAAATATCCATAAAATAAAATAAACAGGCTGTGACCTAGAGGATTTATACTCCCGGAATGTATACTCTTAATTCCATCTCTTAAGGTAGACAAGGCATAAACATGCACACAAAATCCTTTGAAAGCAATATCAGTCATTGTACACAGAAGCTTTTATCTTTTTTTCTGGGATTTCTCTTCTAGCAAATATAGGAATGTTGGACAAACAGATAATAAAGTGTCAAAGCTTTTACTTTGTGTTTATTAGGGCTCTCTGTTTAGAAATGAGGAAAAAAAACCCCTCCACCTCGCTGACTTATGCCTGAAATAAGAGTGTTCTCACTGGAATTTCACCAGTGCAATAGCCAGTTTCAGAATTGGAGGTGATGATTTTTAAATTAGAGGGTACTTCATAAACAGTGGTCAAGTCTAGTTGTCCTTTTACATAATTTATAAAATTAAATTTATTAAGTAAATGTAATTTTTTTTTGAAATGAGCATATGGAGTTGTTCCATGTGGTATCCTCTACATATGGTAGATTTGTTTTCATTACCAAGGTAGCTATTTTAACTCTGCTTCTCTAGTTGCTTTTATTGAAAAAGGCTTTTCTGTACATTTATATCATATTATATAAATCATTTTTTCTCTCACTTAAAAATATTCTGTCTTTCGTGATTTAGTTCAGGCTTTGTAATAACAGTGGCAATCTAACTTTGTCTACCTTCCACCTCTCTCTTCCCAGCTTTTCTATTTTCTCATTCTTTAGGTAGTAGTATAACAGTTACCAGATTCAAAACTAGAATGCCTGTTAAACTTAACGAACATGTTTGTCTGAATCCGCCTTATCTGCCACATGATGACACTTTGAATCTTGGCAAAACCAATAGGATTCTGAATGTCGGGAATCAAGAACCTGTTCTCTCTTCATTCTTACAAGTTTGTTTATTGGGTTTTAGGTGTTCCAACCCCAAGCCAAGAAATTCTGCGGCACACGCTGAACACACTGGTACGGGAGAGGAAGATCTATCCAACTCCAGATGGCTACTTCATTGTGACCCCACAGACTTACTTCATAACTCCTTCCCTCATAAGAACTAACAGTAAATGGTACCATTTGGACGAGAGGATACCTGACCGGTCTCAGTGTACCTCTCCACAGCCCGGAACCATGACGCCCTCTGCCTCAGGCTGTGTCCGGGAAAGGACACTGCCCAGAAACCACTGCGACTCTTGCCACTGCTGCCGAGAAGACCTGCACAACATGCATGCGTCGACCCTGCAGAGGAAGTCTGCCAAGGACTGCAAGGACCCTTACTGCCCCCCTTCTCTGTGCCAGGTGCCACCCACTGAAAAGAGCAAAAGTACTGTCAATTTTTCCTATAAGACAGAAACTCTCTCCAAACCTAAAGATAGCGAGAAGCAGTCCAAAAAATTTGGGCTCAAGCTATTCCGGCTCAGTTTTAAAAAAGACAAGACCAAACAGCTGGCCAATTTTTCTGCCCAGTTTCCTCCTGAAGAGTGGCCCCTGAGAGATGAGGACACGCCAACCACGATCCCTCGGGAAGTGGAGATGGAAATTATTAGGCGGATCAACCCAGACTTGACCGTGGAAAACGTCATGCGACACACTGCACTAATGAAGAAGCTTGAGGAAGAAAAGGCCCAGCGAAGTAAAGCTGGGTCGTCCGCCCATCACAGCGGAAGAAGTAAAAAGAGTCGGACGCATCGGAAGTCCCACGGAAAGTCTCGGTCTCACAGCAAGACCCGAGTGTCCAAGGGAGACCCTTCCGATGGTTCCCACCTGGATATCCCCGGTGAAAGAGAGTATGACTTCTGTGACCCTCTCACCAGGGCCCCCAGGGAAGGCTGCTTCATCATCGAGCACAAGGGAGATAACTTTATCATGCACAGCAGCACAAACGTGATTGAGTCCCATTTCCCCATGACGCCAGAATGGGATGTGTCTGGAGAACTGGCCAAAAGGAGAACTGAGATGCCTTTTCCTGAACCTTCCCGGGGAAGCTCCCACTCAAAAGTTCACCGGAGCCACAGCCATACCCAGGACCGAAGGTCCAGGAATGAGAGATCCAACAAAGCCAAGGAAAGATCTAGATCGATGGATAATTCCAAAGGCCCTCTGGGAGCGTCTTCTCTGGGGACCCCTGAAGACCTTGCCGAAGGCTGCAGCCAAGACGACCAGGCCCCCAGCCAATCCTACATCGATGACAGTACTTTGAGGCCTGCGCAGACGGTTGGTCATCAGAGGGCTCACATTTCGTCCACCAGCTATAAAGAAGTGTGTATCCCAGAAATCATCAGTGGCGGCAAGGAGCCTTCCAGTGCTTGTAGCCTTCTGGAGCCAGGCAAACCCCCCGAGAGTTTGCCCTCCTATGGTGAACTCAACTCTTGTCCAACAAAAGCAGCCACAGACGATTATTTCCAGTGCAACACCTCTAGTGAGACAGTGCTCACGGCGCCCTCTCCTCTGGGAAAGAACAAGGAGGACCACGACACTCTGACCCTGGCAGAAGGGGTGAAAAAGCTGTCCCCGTCCGATAGGCAGGCCCCCCATTCCTCCAGGGAGCCTGTAGGGCACAAGGAGGAGTCCCCCAAAGGGCCAGGTGGGGGCCCAGCCGCCTCGGGCAGCGCGGCTGAGGGGATGGCCAACGGACGCCTCATCCAGCACCACGGCGCCGAGCCCAGCAGCTTGGACAAGAGGAAAGAGATATTCAGCAAAGACACACTGTTCAAACCTCTTCACAGCACCTTGTCTGTAAACAGTTATCACAAATCCAGCCTGTCCCTCCTCAAATCTCACCCGAAGACACCTGCTGACGCACTGCCGGGCCGATGTGAGAAACTGGAACCTTCCCTGGGGACCTCGGCAGCACAGGCTGTGCCGGCATCCCAGCGTCAGCAGGAGTCAGGAGGGAACCAGGAAACCTCTTTTGACTATTACAACGTCTCCGATGATGACGACTCTGAGGAAGGGGCAAACAAGAACACAGAGGAGGAGAAAAACAGAGATGATGTGGGTACCATGCAGTGGCTCCTCGAGAGGGAGAAGGAAAGAGACTTGCAGAGGAAATTTGAGAAGAACCTCACCCTTCTTGCCCCAAAAGAAACCGACAGCAGCAGCAACCAGAGAGCCACCCATTCAGCCCGGCTCGACAGCATGGACAGCAGCAGCATCACGGTGGACAGTGGATTCAACTCCCCACGGTAGGGAGAGGTGTCTCTCTGCACACACATACACCTATCAGGGCCTGGGGCTTTCTGCAGATTACTTGAAAAGTTTTTGATTTCACAGTCTCTGTCCTGTGAATGAGGGTTAAGAGTTGTATGAGCTGTATCGTTAGCAACCTATTTCTGACTTCTTTTTCAGGAATTGAAAAAAATGTTTCTGCAGCTGTAGAGATCACCAATCTGGACTGGTGGGTTGGCTCCTTCCCTCAAACTTGCATCAGTCCAATCTAACTAAGACCACCATTTCCCAGTTTTTTTTGTTTTGGTTTTGGTTTTTGGTTTTTTGTTTTGTTTTGTGTTGGAGTCTCACTCTGTCGCCCAGACTGGAGTGCAGTGCCCGCTCCCGGCCACCGCAGCCTCGACCTGCTGGGCTCCGGCGATCCTTCCGCCTCAGCCTTCCGAGTAGCCGGAACTACAGGCATGCGCTACCACGCCCAGCTGATTTTTTGATTGATTATAGAGATGAGGTCTCACTGCCCAGGCGGGTCTCGAACCCGCGGGCTCAGGCAATCCACTCACCTCAGCCTCCCAAAGCCGCGGGATGACAGGCTGAGCCACCGAGCCCGGCTCCCAGTATTTTTTATTCTGTGTTCATGTTGGCTGTTATGCTAAGGAAGGGGTTTTTTAAGCTCTCCAACAATAACTTTTTGACTACAATGAATAGTCAGTGGGAGGTAGGGGTTGGGAGTGAACTGACTGATGCTAGGATTGGGGGATGTCCTCTAGTAAGCAGATATCAAAACCTTTCTAGTGGGTCTAGAAGCTTGTTGCCATTGTGATTCCTGCTTTCTGTGCAGCCTGTCCCTCTTGTCCTATCCGTCCTCTCACCGTCCATGTGGCTACAGAGAGGTGGAAACTGGCTCCTGTCACAGCAAGGTTAGGGGCCTGTGCTCTTTTAGATCAAAGCATGTGCCAGAGCTTTTATTTCTCCTCCTGCAGGATTGGCACAACCTGTTTAGGAAGGTTGACCATAGTATCCTCTTTTTAGTAGGTTAGTCACTCAGCAAACAGTCGACAGTTGAGAATTTGTAATATCCAATGGTGATATCCAAAACTCTGAAGTTGTTCAGGAGTTAAGAAAGCAAACAAGGGTCTATGCAACTTTCCTTTTTCTCATTCACTCTTCCTTCTTCTCAAAGAGCAACATGGGATCTAATTCTCCTTCTAAATTTTACTCCAGATTGGTGACTCTGAGATGCAGAAATACTACGAGAGATTGACCTTTCTCGTGAGCTCTGGTTCCCAAGATTTTATACTTATCATTTTAACAAGTACTCAGATAGGATTATGTTTTGTATATTTATTTTAATTATTAAGAATTAAAATTAATTCTGTCATGATGATTTCACCGTATCTCTGGATAATTTTGGAAGAGAGCTTGGCAATATCAGAATTGGGAATCATTCATCCGTTTAGGCCTAATCATATTAGGCCTTTGTGGTTTCTTGAAAGGCTGGTTCTTGATTGGGATTATGATTATTTTGGTCATAGAGCCTTTCTTCCAAGTTGGCATGTGTGTGGAAATCTAACATCTGAACAGATGGTGGGAAATGAGAAGTCGCATTCTCCTTTTCCCGTCCTTTGAGGAACATCTGAGACTTCAGGGACCCGTGGCCCTCCGCCCGAGAACCACTGACCTACTAAGCTACTTTTCTAAGAAACTATTTTTGCTAGATAGTTTTTATCGCAAATCAGATCTTAGTTTATTTCACCTATCTTTTTTATCCTGTTTTGCTGTTCTTCTCTTTTCTTTCCTCTTGAATTTCTAGTAATGGATACCAGATAAGTATAACTGAAGGCTCGCCAGCCATGGTGGAGGTTCAAAGCCATCAGTGATGGAAGGCGTGGTTTATTTGCCTTTATCTTTCCATTCTGCTGTTAACTATTATGTAGATGCTGCCTGCCTGCCTGCTTTTCACAGCTGTCTCAAACCCTTCACATTGCCCTTTTGGCCCCTGGGCTTCCAGAGACAGAAATCCGCCATACTCCAGAGATAGTTACTAAAGAGACAATGGGAGTAACATAATGGGTTCCAACTCAAAAACTTACCATTGCAGAATAGTTTTGGTTTTTTGCTGGAAGTTTTTTGTTTGTTTGAGGGTAAACAGAAATATTCATGAAATGGTTGAACCAGTATCTCCACAGATTATATTTTATTATCTCTAAATTTGGGGTACAGAATATAGAATTCGTGACTGGGATTATTTCTTGAAGTAAGTTTCTTTTTATGTTTCACATACATGTACTTACTTTGTCATGGTAGAAGGTAAAGGTTGTTCTAAGGAGACAACCTTCACACATTAGCCACACATCTGTCCACTAATAGTAGGTAGAATTTTCTCTATGTAATACAGATATCACCCGTAAATTTCATGCAGTTAGTGGATCTACCAGAAATATTCCTAATTTTACCCCTTTTATACCTAATATTCTTTGATTAGACGCTGGGTGACAAACTTACTCTCTTACACCTTAATAGAGTCACTGTCTTTTTAATGTATTATGATGTTCTACAAAGAATATTTGACTTACAAAGAGTTTTGCTCACCAGTATGAGGAGTATTTTAGTCAAATAACATTATTTAGCATGCTGATACCCTTCCATCGCTGTAAGACATGGGAATCTTTTGTTTTGTTAATAATTTTCTTGTTTATTACATGTTGGAATGATAATATTTTGAAGATTGGTTTAATAATTATGCTATTGAAATAAATTTCACTTGTTTCCTTTAACTTTTTAAAAAAGTGGCTGCAAGAAAATTTAAAATTACAAATGTGACTCACATTATATTCCCCCCCCATTTATTAGACACTTTGAATAAATAACTCACTAAGCAACTAAAACCGAATAAAAAAAAATACAAAAAGAAGATTTTTCTCCACACCCCAGGATTCTGATGCTGGCTCAGAAGTCATGCCCAGCCACATTTCCGAAATTATTTAACCCCCTTTGTTGGAATTACAGAATATTGAGAAGGAAAAAAAGAAACTCAAACTATGCTATGAGATCTAATATTGAAAATAAAATTCTTGCCGTGAAAAGCCTATTAGTCCAAATCTGAGGCCAAAACCTGGTTGGTAAACACAGTATGAAAATCAGAGAGGCTTCCAGGGATGTGTCTGCTTAATGTACTGCATGAACATGTGCTACGGAGAAGCCTGGGGACACACGCATGCAGGACAGTGACTAACACAGCCGCATGGGTCATTTCTCCTGCCTGTAAAATCCTGAAAGCTTACTTTAAGGTTGTACTCCATGAGTTCTCTTTAAAACACACGCGCACACACACACACACACACACACACACTTTTAAATTTGAAGAATATTCTTACTGTAACATTTCATCTTCATTAACTTTTTCATCATCATCTCCAGAGCCCTCAGTGAGAGTGTCACAGACTGCAATCATTATTATTACAACAATAATGAAATATGTTCTGTGGAGAAACTGGAGTATTGTATATATTTGTCACTATTAATATGTTGGATATGATTGAGGATGGTAAAAAGAATCTTACAGTAGAGACAGATGCTAGCATAGATGGTCCATTGCAATGATAGGTATTTACAATGCCTGGCATATAGCACATAATAAATGTTAAGCCAATTCTTTAAAGCTGGTTTTAGAAGTTGGTCTTTGGGCCTTAAAATGCATAGAAAAGATGTCATTAGTAAATATCAATTCCCAAGGCAACTCACACTCACTATTTAGTTCATTACTCGATGTATAACAAATAATGTATATTTTTGTAGCTTTTTAGTGCACAAATTCTTCATTGATCCTTATTTCTTCTTCACAGTCACCCTGTGAGCAGGTAAATCACGTCGTGACTCTACCCAGTTTAGAGATAAGGAATTCAAATACTACAAAAATTTACCATTATGATTAAGAATGAAATGGAAGGAATGTGTCTTGAAATCTTTGAGGTTCTCCATATTTATTGCCCTTCCTCCTTCCTTCACCTGACCCCATGCCTCAGTTGTAGTTCTGGTGAGTTACTGATGAATTTTCTTAGAGAAGGTGTCAGGCAGGTAAGTAGATAAGTCTGGCACCTTTCCATCCTTTCAGGGATGACATTTTGGAGTATCCCTTAGGCGTGGCTAGATTTACCATAGACATAAAGAAAGAACTTGACTTATCTTTATAAATGGTCTAACTTTCTGGAGATACCCTCTACATTCAAGAAAGGTCCAGTTGCCTATTTGATAGTTGACGAACAAACTGCCTTTTAAACAACTAACTCTTGTCTTCATGGGGAGAAGCAAACTCAAGGCCATGAGGACTTAGCCTTAAATAATGTGTTAGAAAGAGTTGTCAGGATATAGTATTCAGATAAAATAGCTATCAGCTTAAGATGGGAATGAAAGAGGAGAAAAGAGAATGTCTTCACTATAGGAGTTTGACCTGTTGACTAGCTGGAGCAGGCTTAAATCTGTTATGGGGAACAACTCTCATAGAATACTTTCTAAACATTGACTGTACCCCATGGGATGGGTGTTTTGAGAATGCTTATGGCTTCTTCAACCTCTGGGTAAGCCATTACATTTTTTATAGCTATGTTGAGGATCTTGAATATGAAACCTGTTCGGTTCCCCTCTTCAGATCCAGTGATCTTATGTCTGCCATTGCCCTATACATTTGAAATCATAAATGTTCTAACTTGCTTAAAGCAATAAAATAGATTCAAATATTTATAGCTTAAAAAAATTAGAAGAGAAATCAAAATATAAATCTTTAAAACACCTCTATTCTTTTTTTTCTTTTTAATTTTTTTTTTTTCAGTTACAGTCACACTCCGTTGCCCAGGCTGGCATGAGGTGGCACGCTCATGGCCACCCCAGCATCGACCTGCTGGGCTCCTTCCGCCTCAGCCTTCCATGTAGCCAAAACTTCAGGCACGCACTGCCACGCCCAGCTAATTTCTGATTTATTGTAGAGACGAGGTCTCACCAAGTTGCCAGGGCTGGTCTCGAACCTGCAGGCTCAGGCAGTCCACTCACCTCAGCCTCCCAAAGTGCAGGGATTACAGGCTAAGCCACCGAGCCTGGCCCAATTTTTTATTTCAAAGATGTGGGGTACAATTCAGGGTTAGGTCTACAAGTGTTCATTATGCAGGTCCCCTTGTTAATGAGGTGTGCCCCCACTCGCCCAGCAGATTTCCACTACTGCCAATCCCGCCCCACCCCCTGGCAGTTTCCCACTACTGCCGATCCTCTTCTTATAGTATTATGATAATTGTTCAAGGTCCACTTGTGAGTGAGAACTTGTGATACTCAGTTCTTTGTTTCTGTGATAGATCACTCAGTATTGTAGACTCTAACTCCATCCAGGTTGCTGTGAAGTTCATAATTTTGTCCTTCTTTATGGCTACATAATAGTCCATCAAAACCACCTCCATTCTATAAGAATTCTTTTAAAAAGAAAATATTTCTGCTAAAGGGGTCAGAAATGAAACTTCACAAAAGAATGGGAAAAATCTAAAGTCCTTTATCTGAAAATATCACATATTTTAACCAAAGTGTTAAAATTTGAAACAGGTGTAAAGCATTAAAAACAATTTTTTTCCCCATCAGTGTAGCCAGCTAACCAGTGGCATGCTTCGAGTCCACCCAAGTCAAAATCTGATGAAAATGAAATCGTTAGAGCTTATTCAAGAGCAGTTATGCCATGGAATTTTAAGTCTGAAATGAAATCATGACTTAGATATATTTGAGTATTCATTTTCAAAACTAATGCAATAACTGTCACCTCACATTTTGAAGTTGTTTGTTTAAATGTGAAAAGAAGGGGAAGACATTTCAAAGTGCACTTAGCTGTTTAAAAACCCTCTATTCACTTAGCATGCTGCTGATTATAACATGTCTGTGGAAGCTTCTGGGGCCTATGATAGAGAGGCATATGTGAATAATCAGTTGAGATGTACATTGATATGACATTGTGAACTAACAGAGGAAATCCATTAATGACATCATTTGCTCTTCCTCTGGGGCTCAATATATAATTATTTATGTTCAAAACAAAACAAAACAACCCCTTTTTACTCTTTTAGCACTCGGGAGAGCCTGGCTTCCAACACATCAAGCATTGTTGAAAGTAACCGTCGACAGAACCCTGCTCTGAGCCCAGCCCATGGCGGAGCTGGCCCAGCCTTCAGCTTCCGAGCGAGCACGGATCCCCCGACAAATGAAGCTGAGAAATTACAGAAACCTTCCAGCTGCTTGCAAGCTTCTGTTACTAGTGTGTGATAGTCATTCTGCCTCAGATCTTCTGTCTCATTCGATACAGCAAAGTTTACGACACTGGGACTGATGTTTACATCTTTGGAAAGACAAGCATCTCAACCACAGTTTTTGTGTTTACTTAAACTGTGCTGCTAAGTAGGCTAGGGCAAAAAAAAAAAAACAAAAATCTTTATTTCAGAATATTGCTTTTCACATTTATGGCGCTGTAGCAACTGAATAGCAGTAGGGGTGATATGTATACTTTTGCTTCACTAATTGTATCTGAGCACACATAGGAAAGTCTAGACACTGTAAGTGTAATATGCATTTTCAATGTCATGCAGTTGCCAATTCCATTTTAAAATGCCACAGATGCGTGTTGCTCCCAGTCTGTGGTTAAATGGTGCCACAGAACTGATCCTTGACACTTCCAAAAAACAAAAAAAACGAAGCCACCACAAAATGTCAAATGCAAGGGTCCACCTTGAGGGAAATTAATGCCAAACTGACTAGATGGGACCCCAACCCTTTGTGTGTGAATTGCTTTTGCACCAGTCATTTTTCACTGTGAGTTTTCGTGACACTATTTTGCAGGAGCCCATGGAAGTGTGTGAGAAGGGGTCGCAATGGAGACACTGGGAGTGTTTGTTTTCAAGGTTTTGTGCTCGAGTATAACAGATGCTTGTCTGATTTTTAACCTTCCATAATCACAAACAGGAATATAGGCCTTTGAATCTGAAGCGGACACAGAAAGGGAATTCCCGGTCTGCCTGGGGCACAGCACTAAGTGATGGAAGAGGTAAGGTGGACGTTTAAAAGGTATTAATCGAATATTGAAGGAAGATAATTTCCTCCTTGTGATACTTACGATGAGCCTATCTTACTATAGTAGATACAATAATTAGTTTGTTTAAAAGCAAAATGTTCTTTGTGATACAAATGAAGAGTATGGCCCGAGGATGTTATTCTTTCTAATGGAAGGACATAAATCTATTTTATGTAGTTTTAAATAGAATGCCTAAATTAGGCTGTGGGAGATAATTTTTAGTGGTTATAGGAAAGAGCAAATTTAGGGAGAGTTGAACTTCAGGCCTTTGATTCCTGGGAAGATGTCTATAGAGAAAACTTAAAAAATAATTTTTGATTAGAAATATACATGTGCCCGTGTAATGAACCAACAGAATGTGTTCATTCTGCTAGTGTGGTATAATCATAATTTGTATTCCCCTAAAACTTATCAGAATAACAATTATGCATACATGAACTATGCCAGAGTAATGTTTACAAGATACTTTGTAACCAATTTCAGGAGGTGTTTTTTTTAGGTGGATGTATAGTTATTAGCCCAACTTATTTCAAAATGGTTTGCTCACATTTTGCTTTGTTTTACAATGTCATGTTGAATACGAAGATCCAGCAGCAAAGGGATTACAGATAATTCTATTTCAGTCATATAGGAAAGAGACATTTCGGAGTTTCCATGCTTTATTTTCTGAGAACAGTGGAATAGACCTGTAGATAATGGAAAATTACTTGCAAAAGGGTTACATATGACACAAATAAATGGATCTGACATAAAGTTTTATTTAGTTTAGCGGCATCTGCTGTTTGGAGCCATACACCATAAAAATATATACATATCCAAAAATAAATCTAAAATATTTTCTCCTCAGATTTCAGTAATTGGCATAAAATTTGTGAGACACGTCTGTTTCCTTATTAGGGTTAATCACTAGCAATCTGTTTAAAGAGCACAGTCATATACATAGTTGGATGAATTCTTGAAACATTTGAATTCTCCCTCATGGTTTTTCAGTTATTTGGAAGTTACATTGGATCAAACTGGACTCCTCACATTTAGTCTGAGTTCCTTTTTGTGCTTATCGTAGTGAAACTTCAACATGTTTCTTGGTAAACTCCCACATCATTGAAATGCTTAAGCCAGTTGGCTTTCAGTCTCATGCCTTATTTCCTCCAAGGCATGCCTTGATTGCTCAGAAATCCATTGTTTGTCTCATTGCTTAAATATGTCCAGAAGGAATGATAATGTATCTAATAGACTACATAGTCTGTTTCCTTGGGGACTTGTATACCATACGGTTACTAATTTTTTCCGTCTAAATTCACTGTTTCTAAAACCCTGCTCTCAAATTTTTCTTATACCATCAGTTCAAAAATAATATAACCATTGAAACAATACATAAAACCTCTAGCTGGTCCTCTGAAAGTAGCCATTGAACTAATTAAATGCTGTGTGAACAGGAAAGGAAAGCATTACCTTTAAGAGAAGCTTTAAAATAAGAGTTTATCGCTATTTCGTGAGAAATAGGTTTACAGAAGACATTATTCAAATAAAATGTGTACACTCTTTGCCTGATGCTATGAGGTACATGATTTAAAAAAAAAAAGACAAAAAACAAAAACAAAAAAACTCCCTTAGACCAGCAGCCATTAGTGTAGAAATGATGGACTTTTAAGATGATGCTGTAGAAGCAGAAGTTCCGTGTAGAAATGCTACTCCCGTGTGAGTCTAATCAGGATTCTCGAATGGGGGAGACTGGTGGCCAGAAGCGCATAGCAGATGTCATGCCAAGGTGGTCTCACCACGAGGGTGAGACTCACAACGCCCACACCCCGGGGCCTTCAAGCGTCGCCAATTTCCTTTTCCTCCATGAAATCATAGCTTTGTGTCCACGACTGCTTATTCCAGTCTTAGAGTTTATTGACTGAAAGGTTTACAAAACTGAATTTGGTTGAATCTCTGTTAAAGGGTCAACACATCTGTCGGCATTTTGCACACTTATGTATTATTATGATACAGCATATTACTTTATGGTAATTTTTATTTTTACATATAACTACCTCCATAAATTTGATGAAATGGCAGCCGTGTGTTCAAGCGTATCGTTCAGAAAAGCAGAGTCTGAAACTTTCTTACACACGAGGCCATGGCCTTCTCTGTGTGTGTGTCGGCGATTGCCTATGTGGACTCATGACTGTCCCATGGCCATGGCTTCCTCCTGCAGCATTATTTGGCTTTCAGATGTAATCCTGTGTTCTCCTCTCCTCCCCACAAAAGCGCACTTGATTTTGTTACGAGTCAACAGAAGTTCAAAAATTGTAGTGCCCCCCCATCTCACTTCCCATTCCTGCTAGAAGTTCTCTGGTGAAGAGCCAGGCTGTAGACATAATTTAGTGAGCTGTTGACTCCTGAGATCTCATTTGAAGGATAGGCTTTCTGTCACGGAAGACACACAGGAAATTTGGACTGCCACCCTGAAGCACTTTGGGCCCCGCCTTCACTCGCATGCTGCCACATCGAGCCCAAACTTCACTTTAGTTGAAAGAGCTGTGCTGTGCATTCCACAACTTCTGTTAAACCATTTGTATTCCATTATATATATTTTGCACATCTCAGGGGACCATAATGAGCATATGAAATGGGGGGGTGCCATCAGACAGAGAAAACAAGTAGAAGAGGTGAAAGGGGACATGCAGGACAAAAACAACAAATCACTGCTTCTCTGATGTTGTGAAGCTCAAGTTCAGAAAGCTTCCATTGAAAGTTAATCTGGAGGAACAACGATCTGAACACCAGCTGTTCCCAGATCTCTCTTTTTCATAACCCAACCAGCATTTCTAAAGTGTAAATTTAAATTGCATTGCAGTCACCATGGGGAAAAGAAACCTGTGCAGTGGAAACGGAAGCATCGTTCCTTTTTTAGGCTGGCGCAGCTTTGTGAAATTCTACCCAGGATAAACCACTATCACCACCAAGTGTACTTGAAAATAAAGTTTTTAACTTAAATTATAGGCATATTATTCACAATACAATAGTGATCATTTTTTGAGAGTCTCACCATTTATAACATGGGCAGTATTCAGAGCTTGATTTAAAAACCAACAATTGATAATGACTTTGCCTAGTTTATTTTGGGATCTCAAAGTGCTTCCAAAGCATTTAGATTCGTAAACAATTAACAAAGCAGGTCATCTTTGTAATACCCATACTTGAAATCAATAAAAAGGAGTGACTTAAGATTATCCAGAAACATAGTGGCAGCTATCAATGATCTATTTTCTATCTGTTTGATAGACCATCCTGAGAAATCACTAAATACAATGCTATTTTTCTGATGTGTGCTAATAAAGTCAAAGAAAACAAATACAACTTTACACTTTTGTCCATTTTCATTCAAAAAGTTCAGGGTGTTTGGAATTTTACACCACAGCACACCTCACTGGTATTGACATGCGAAATGAGAGCCTGACAAATCCACCCAGATGTCATTGCAGTCAGAGGCAGATCTGGATATACACACCCTTGTTTACAGTTTCATGCTGGGTTTCTAGAATTCCCGTGCTCAATTGCCGTTTTTCAGGAAAATGACTGCTCCTGGCAGTGGAAGGTGCTGAAACAAATTTTAATTAAAAACTTTATCAAGTACTCATCACAGTGCTCCCTAGCACAGTAGAAATTCAGTACAATATATCGAGCCCTCCTTTGGAGGATCTGGTTTCTGAGGAAGCTCATCCAGTTCTAAGTGTTTTCTGAAATTCAGAGACAGAAGATCCTTGACAGGGATCTTTCTCCATTACCACGAGCCAGTCACAGAACCAACTTGAAGTCAGACCTCAGTGGGCCCAAGCAGAGGCGATCTCTCCCTTCCCCTTCCCCTTCCCCTCCCCCTCCCCCTCCCCGCAGGACTGCCCTGCCCATTGTCAAAGTCATCCAGCACTCTTCTGATAGTGAGTGACTCTTCTGCACATGTTTAGGGCTTGGGGAAGCTAGAGCACAGGAAAGATGGATGCAAAACCATGGAAAAACATTGTTTTGCTTTAGGCTAGTAAAATATGGGCAGGAAAGAGATTATTATCAGTCTGAGCTTTGTCAAGTAAGATAAAAGAATCAGCTGTCGCCCCATTCCTCTCCCAGAAGGTTTTATAGTATTAAGGATGCATCCAATATTTTCCCATAGATTTTTTTTTTTTCGGGAGACATTCTATAAATTGCATACATGGAAAAAAATCCATTATTAAATTTCCGTGTGTGTTTCAAACATTGGCACCTCCCTAGTTAATCTCTGCAACAGCACCCAGATAGAGATTCACAGAGATGGCTTCCCTAAAACATAATCCTGCACCTTTACAGTTGTTCTGTGACTTACCGTTGATGACTTGCAAGATTCCAAATTCCGCAGGACTCCAGGGAGGCACAACTTTCTTCTGATGATTGTATATAATCAGTTACAGGGCTTTAACTGCTCATTATTGGCTTCATATGTAAACACACACACACACACATCATGCCAACGAGGGAGTGCGGTGTTTCCAAGCGAGGCAGCAATGACTGGAGGGCTGGAATAAGGTGACTCTGGAAGGCTGGGTAGAGCATCAAGATAGAAGCTTCGCTGGTCCACGTACAGCTGCCTACCTCCGTGTCCCAAGGCGGATCTTGGCACCCCCGTTCCCTTGCTCCCACCAAAAAAGTACTAAGTGCAAGACCTGAGCTCTCCTCCCATATCAGTCCTTGACATTTCAGGAGATTGGTCATGAAGTACACACTCAGCAGCAACTCTCTGTCCTCTGAGGTCCTCCTTCCCACACCCCGCCTAGATACAGACACACCGCCACGGTTTCCACATTGGAAGGGCAGAACACTGTGCAGTATTGTGCACGCTTGCTGGGTTAGGAATAGGGCTGCCCTAGGGTCACCTTCATGAACGAATTGACAGCTACAAATTAAAGTCCTTAGAGCAGTTGTCATAGATACTACTTTCAAAAAGAATTAAATTTAAACGTCAAGTTTAAAGGGATCATAATTTTGCAGGTATCTTTCTCTGAGTGACTGAATGTGACTATTGCATTAGGGTAAATGAATTAAGTGCAAGTGGGATTTACTGTATGTTAGAAAGGAGTTTTGCAGCCAAGACTGCCTTGAATAAAATGTGTTTGCACTGAAAAAAAAAAATTTTAAATTACTTGGTCTCTGGTTGCTGTAAAGGTCATCCAAGATGGATGTTCTGTTTATATTGTATAGTATTTCATATGAAATAATTACAGTTCATGAAATGTCTTCCCTAATGTTACTGATTTATAACAGCACATTTGTAACATGGTTTTTATCGTGTCAGTGTACCATATTGTAAATGATGATTACTTGTCATGCTTAGTATAATAACTTAAAAGAAAAAAAAAGGACAGGGATTTTTGTAAGTCTATATTTGAAAGTCCCTCCATATGGTAATATTGTGTTCATGTTGTTTATGTAGTGTTGTGTGAAATATCCATTTTGGATTGTGTTACTTTTTAAGATATTAAATAACATTTGGTTATATGTCTAAGTGGATTTCTTTTGGTACTTGAGAAAAAATATTTTACGTGAGGTCAATTTATTTCTCTATTCTGTTAATATTTTGTAACAATTGTTTTTTGTGCAGTCTTTATTGTTAGAGCTTTTGAGTCAAAACAACTAAAAAATGGAAATTTCTGATAAAAAATATTTTTCCACGAATGTTGCAAAAAAAGTCACATTTCTAGCTAACAATTTAAAACAGTGAGGATTAGAGATGCATATAACTAAGTTTTCTGTATAAAGTTATTGAGGAATGTGGTTAGTTTGGGGGTTTCTTTTTCATTAGCACTCTTATCACAGCCTTTGTCCCCAGGTATCTGTGGTTCTGTCCCCAGTAAACACTAGGAGGCTGTTCACATATTCCGGTGAGTCACTTGCACAGGTTCGGAATGCCTCCATGTTTAATTGCCTTCAGAACCTATTATACATTCTTTTGCTTCTCCTCGGTGTGGCAAATCTTTGTTCTTGGAGAATGGACCTAATTTTTTTCAAACTAAAGTGATTTGCTGTGAAGTTAATGATGGAGCTAGGAAACGGTATTTTTAGTAAAAAACAATATGGAGCCATAAAGTTGAGCCTGGTTTTCTTGTATGAAATTATGCAATGCCCAAAGCAGACTTCCAAAAATTGTTTTGAACAATGATGTGTCTTTGGATAAGTCTGGAGACCCTAAGGTGACTGCTTTGAATATCAAGTCTTATTTTAGTTGTATGTTTGTATATTTTAGATTGTCTCAATACAGATACTTCCTTTTTCAGGCATGAAGTTAGGAAGACAAGGATACTAGGAGTATATTGTGAGTTTTACTCTAGGATCAAAAGCTGCTGTGGTCTAGGAAAGGTAATTATATGTTCCCTTGAGGGCAACGCAGTGAACTAGACACATGGAGAAAATGTGGAGACTTAATAAGAAGATGGAAAGCAGAATTCTGACTTCTTTGGGAGAATGGTCACAGTTCATAAAAATATTTTCTTTCCAAAGGAAATGGTATGGTTTTAACCTAGTTTTTAAGTGTTTAGAGGAATGAGATTTTGCCCCCTTCATTAAGAAAATCCAAGCAGAGTACTCAATTATTGCCTCCTATCCTGCTGGTGGCTGTGAAACCAAGAACTAATAAATAATCAAAAGAAATTGTTCACCTGACTTTAATTTAACTGTAAAGTCTTCTCCCTACCATGGGAATATGTGGATTTAGGGATATCCCCCCTCTTCAGGCTCAGTGACTTCAACCTTTTCCTGACAAGCAGATAGTTAATCGTGTGTGATGAATACCCAGCACATCCAGGAACTTCAAGAAAATTCAAGGCACCTGCACTTAAGAGAGGCTGGGTAGAGTTTTTTGGTGAACCTTCTTTTTAAAAATCATACTAGAAATATGGAGTTAAGAGTAAGAGTGTGATGTGATATGTTAGACAAGAGAAGTGAGGTCAGAGAAGTTCATTTGGAATCCAGAGGGCAAAATAGAATTGCTGATGTTCAATAAAAGGCAAATTCTTTCTCAGGCAGATCTAGGCTTTAGGGGCAAGTTTCATGCATAATTTTTCTTTTCTATTACCTTGGGTTTATTTTACTTCACTACTTTTTTCTTCATATAATACCAAGAATTTTTGTTTGGTGGTTGTTATGCTATTAATATTTGGAATCATTCCTCGTCTCACTTATTGATAATCACAACGATGACTAGTATTTTAAATCTCATGTTTATATTGCCTTTCCCTCCTTGGTCCACAGACCACTGTCATCCCTCAATCCCCTTTCTGCTCACCTTTGTGTTAAAAGCCGTTTGTTCTCCAACACATCTATCTCCTGCAAGCTGATTTATCAGAGGCCTGTTAGATAACTGGTAGCTTATAGAGATGGATGGATGGATGGATGGATGGATGGATGGATGGAGGGAGGGAGGAGTGGGTGGATGGATGATGGATGGGTTGGGGGTGGGGAGAGAGAGAGAGAGATTTCATTAGACCAAAGATCTCTATTCTTATAGTCTGAAAATAGCAATGAAACAGAAGGAGATGTCATGCAAAAGAACATTGTTTGGCTTTTGTGTTGCTTCCTTTGAATGTGTTGAGAATTCATCTTGGGAAAATATATTGGAATCTTCTCCTATCTGCCATTCTTTATCATATGCTATATTGTGGGAAAAGGTTTTTTTTCACCTGACACATCTCTTTTGTTTTTACAAGCCCTTGTGTCGAGGGCTGACCTTCAATAGATCACCATGAGGGAGCTGCTCTGCTACCTGCAAAAGCCCAGCCCAGAAGCAGGTTGTCTACGAATGGTTTAGCACCAGGTTCCCCTCGAATGTGCAGTGCATGATGGGTGAGGGGGCAGCCGCCTTTCTGGCTGCGCCCCGTGTGAAACATCTCTTAAAGTTAGTAACAGCTCAATGGTTCTAGCATTTAGGTATCAGTAGGTCTGTCTGACACAGGGCAACCTCACCTTTTTTTTGGTCATTATTGATTAGACAAGTGTGACAGATAACTAACAAATCATAAGTGGGTCAGAGTAGACAGGTTTTTTTGCCCCTCCTTTTCTTCATATGTTATTTGAAGGCAGTTCATGAGAAGACATCTGTGTTGAATGTCAAAGGGTTGATATTCAGACTGAGAAAGTTTCAAGATTCTCTGGGCTAGAGCAACAATCATGAAAACAGAAGTTGTCATTTCCACTGTAACTTTCCTTCCATGTCTCCTTCTATCTTTAAAGGGGACCTAATTAGGTGGATTAGGGGACTCCATAAGAAGTCAGAAAAATTAGTGGAATAGAGGGTATCCTTTACATACACTTGACTTTTGCTCTAGCGAGTTGGTAAAGGTACCAAAACTTGAGAGAAACTTGTCTAGGGATTTCAGCAATCTGCATATTTTGTAGCATTTGAGAACAAAGCACTTAGATTACATTGCATAATAAACCTTTCACTTTATAACAGTTTTAGATTTACAGAATTACTACAAAAATAGTACAGCGAGTCCTTGTATATCCTATATCCTGTTTCTCCTATTGTTTACATCGTACATTTTAGTACAGCACTTTGGTCACAATTGATGAACCACTACTGATACATTATTGTTAACTAAAGTTCATCCTTCATTCGTATTTTCTCAGTTTGTCCCTACAGTCCTTTTATTGTTCCAGGAGCTCTTCAGGATGCCATATTACAGTGAGTTGTCATGTCTCCTTAATCTTTCTTGGTCTGAGAGAGTTTCTTAATCTTGGTTCCTCCCCACCCCTCCCCTTCCCATTTCTTATGACACTGCCAGTGTTGAGGTGTCCTGGCCAGGTACTTTGTACCGAGTTCCTCAGTTTCTCATAAGTTCTTATGCTTTTCTCATGGTTACACTGGAGTTCTGTGTTTTGGGCAGGAGAACCTCAGAGATAATGCCATTCACATCACTTCACACCTTGAGTACGTCCCTTCCTCGGGGCCCTTCTGCCTTGATGTTCACTTTGGCCATCTGGCCTGAGGTAGTGCCTATCAAGTCTCTTCACTGTCAAGTTACTCTTTTTCTCTCTGTTTTCATCCTGTACTTTTCGGAAGAAATTCGCTATATAGAGAGTCATGCTCCACCTCCTTAAGGGCAGAGTGTCTGCATACATAATTTGGAGCCCTACACAGATTTGTCTCTTCTTCGCCATAAATTTATGGGTTCAAAAATTTATTCGTATTGGTATGATTCATGGGAGAGATTTATTTTATACTTCGGGTTATAGTCCATTATTATTTTATTTTATTGCTCAAATGTTTCCAACTTTTGCACTGAGAGTTCTTTAAGATGGTTCCTGTATCCCTTTGACATACCCCATCATCGTGGCTTTCTTGTGTGTTTGGCTTTTGAACATGTCCTAATCCCCTGCCCCCCACACTGTAAAAAGCTTTAGTGTGTATTCCCCTCCCCTCTGGAATTGGCCATTTTTCCAAGGAGCCCTGGTTTCTTTTACCAGAGAATGGTATTAGAAACCAAGGTCTGGGTGCTTGGTGCATATGTTGCTGCTGGAGAGTTATTACTGCTGGTTCTTTCAATTGACATAGTGAGGAGATATGTGTACGTACACTAATTTTTGTCTGTACACATATCTATAGATAGCTCTGTATGTAACCATCTGAATCTCTTAAGCCAAGTATGAATTCTTACTGCTGTCCCCAGCCCCAGTTCATTACTCCATGGGTCACTCTGGCCTCCTTCCCTGCTTGTCTGTGATTTCTCCCTCCAACTTTCCTCCCGTCACCTGCCATCCCTCTAGTTGATTGTTCAATGGCAGTAATGTGTGTAATTGTTCATCCATTGTGATTTGTAAAACTGATTTGATAAGTATGGAAATAGTGAAGAAAAAGTTAAACAGCTTCTCAAATTAATCCTAGTAGGTGGCTTACTTACTGGGACAGTGCAGTGAAGATTATAAGCTTATTAGTAAACTTATTGGGCCCTAATGGGATTGCTCTAAAAAATTTAGTGTTCAGAGGGAAAAGAGGCATGATGAATAATCTTCAATATGTGTTCTTCCTTTTGTTGTACTGTTAGAACTTGGAAAGAAGCCATATGTTGACTTAATAGTATATATACCACATGTCTTCACCCATCCCATCTCTGAATATCTAAATTTTCACCATAGTCCAAGGTCTAGCTCAGATGCTGTCTCCTTCACGTGGGCTTCTCGGAGAATCCTTCTTACTCCCAAGCTAGTGAAAGCATGTCCTCTTTCCCTCTCTTACAGTACAACATGTATCATTTCCAGCCCTGTGTTCTCATGTTTTGTCATAAAAGCAGACTTGTGCCCAAGACCATACCCTCGGCTAAACAATTCACCCCATTTTAATGCTATTTCCTAGATATCCTGGAGGGACCTTCCCTTGTGCAAGAAACAGGCTCAGTGCAAGGGCTTGGAACAGGATTTCAAAAAAGTTGAATACTCTTGGTCAAGGCTGCTTCTCCCCCCAGGTGTCTTCTGGGAAGGTGCTCACTAGCTTGCTGCTTCCTCTT